GTCCTCCCCTCCTGCTCTGCTCAGCGCTTGTCACACCCAGCCCCAAACTTTCCCCCAGGCCAAATGTCCTTGGGAGCCTGGGGTGGGTTTTGGTTTTCTTATTTCAGATCTCTCAAATCAACCCCTTTCAGCCCAGGTGACAAAGCAGCAGAACCACCTACCAAAGAGAGGCATGGGGCTGGCTACCCTGGCACACTCTGCAATGTAGTCCCAGTCAGCTCCCCTCGTGTACCTCTGCTCCCTGGACCTGCCGTGAAGCTGGGGAAGAAAAGTCCCAATGAGACACCCCCCCCAGACCAAACCAGTGTCCTCTGTGCTGCCAGGCAAGCAGAGCTCCCCAGGCAGCACCCAGAGCTTCCCAGTCCCCCCTACCGTGACCATGGCTGCTCCCCACTCTCGGATCCTGGGGATTATTTTATGAGCCACGTTGACCTTCTCCTGCACGCCTGTCCGGATCTTCACGGTCGAAAAGTCCCAATGAGACACCCCCCCCAGACCAAACCAGTGTCCTCTGTGCTGCCAGGCAAGCAGAGCTCCCCAGGCAGCACCCAGAGCTTCCCAGTCCCCCCTACCGTGACCATGGCTGCTCCCCACTCTCGGATCCTGGGGATTATTTTATGAGCCACGTTGACCTTCTCCTGCACGCCTGTCCGGATCTTCACGGTCAGTGGGACGTCCAGCACCTGCAGGAGTGGGAGGGTGAGGCCAGGCTGAGGCAGGAGCTGGCTCCAGCAGCTCATCTCCTGCTGCTGGCAGGTGCTCTGACTCACCGAGTTCATCCCTCGGACGATCTGTTCAAATTTGTTGGCTCGAGTCATCAGAGCACATCCTCCCCCCTGCAGAGTGAAGAGTCTCCTCAGAGCTGCTCAACGGGTGAGACTTGGAGCATCTCAAGACTTGGGGAATGGGAACTCTTCCACTAAACAAGATCTTTTTCCCACAGCTCTTTTCCCTCCCAGCTTCTGCCTGGCAGAGACAACAAACCACTCCCTGCTCTTGTTCACCTCCTCGCTGAAGTCTAGAGCCCAATGAACTGGGAGCTCTGGATGAGACCAGGAGGAGCAGGATGAGGCAAAAGCAAAGCACCTATTGAAGGAACCAAAACGTGCTGCAGAACATCTTCTTACCTTCTTGTAGACCAGGTCAATGGGACACCCCACGTTGATGTCCACAAAGTCCACGTCGATGGTCTGGTTCAGGAGCTCTGCACATTTGGTCATGGTGTCTGGAAACGCCCCCTCCAGCTGCCAAGGGGCAGGGGCTGGGTGAGCTGCAGCAGCAGCAGCTTTTCTCCTCAGAAGGGAGAGGTTACAGAGGGGACAGCACTGACCTGCACCCCGAAAATGTCCTCGGTGTGATGGCGTTTGAGCAGTGCCCACTCAGAGGCCTGGCCCTGCAGCAGGTTTGTGCACACAGCCATCTCCCCGCAGGTCACCTCGGCCCCCAGGCGCTTGCAGACCCTTCGGAAGGGGAGGTTCCCACACTGCCAGGGGGAGGGACAGGGGGGAGGTGGCTTGTCACCAGCTCCGCCCCCTTCCAAACGCAACCACGGCCCGGTTCTGACCAAAGGACCAAGTTATTCCACCTACCGTGGTGAGAGGAGCCAAGTAGAGCTTGCCTTGGATTTCCAGCTGAAAAGAAGGATGGGGAGGATGTCAGCAGGGCTGGGCCAGCAGTGGTGGAACAGGAAGGTGTTCCAGTTAGCAGTTTTATCATCTGCTGTGGGTAAAACCCAGTGGGGGACCCAGGAAATCACTGGTTTGGTTTGAGAACCTCAACTCTTCCAAGAGAACATGTTGTTTGGGTAAAGGAACCAGAAACTTGAACCATTCCAATTGTTCTTGGGTTGGAGAAAACTCAAAGCAGATACAGGTGCCAAGGATGCAAGACTGGCCAGAGTGACAAGAAGAGGAAGGAGGCAACCTGCCCAGTGGGCACAGACCAGCCAGCCTCAGCCTCTTCTCACAGACTGATACCCCCCCAGTGACAGCTCAGCCCCCACCCCCTTTGACATGCAAGAGGCTGCAGCTTCTCCTGGTTCTCACCCCTCCAAGGCCAACACCACAGCCCCATGATCTCACCTTCATCCTTCCCCTGACACCTACGTGGTGCCCAGGCAGCTCTGTCCT